CGCGCCACCCTCGGCTCCTTATACCATAACCTCAGTTTATTTTCCAGCTTGCCACGACCGATGATCATGTGAAACATTATAATATCTAGAATCTAGAAGCATGTATCAGAAAGAAACTTCTATTTTTTTGGTAAATGGCAAATTACCCTTAGTATTAGTACCGGTACCGGGTTGGCTACCAAAATGTTTTGTGTATTTTAAAAACTTTAGTACATTGGTTTGTATATTTTAATGAAACTGGTTTTTCTTAAATGGGAAAAGTTGTTACAGTAACTAACTAAAATTACCAAAATTTGATGATCTCTTGTTATTCTATTCACTGTATGAGAAATAAAACAGATTTGTTCTTACTAGTACAGGGTTTAAGAGGTTGAATGTGCCACCCCCCCCCTTTAAAAAAAAAATCCTAATCCCCCACCCCCGTTTATTAATGTTGGACCACTTGTCCACACCCCCTTCTTTTATTCCTACCTCCCTTTTTTATTCGATACCTTAAGGTATAAGAAGTGGAAGCAGTTGACTACACTGGAAAATACACCGATAGGCGTGATGACAACATACGAGGCGAGCCAGGGACACTATATGCTTTGTCTTATGGCACCTGCAACACAATGAGGTCATATAAGTGCCGAAGATTAGAGGTTTTACAAGAGAGTAACAAACACAATAATGTCATATAAGTGCCGAAGATTAGAGGTTTTACAAGAGAGTAACAAACACAAAAAGGAAGGAGGGGAGACAGAGACGATAGATCTTTTACAGGAAAGAAGTAGCAAACCACACCAGAGCACCCGCCAACCACCCACACACTATATGCAAGAAAAACGTACTTGTTTCTCTCAGTGTCTGTCTGAAAACGCCATACCAAGTCTTCTCTTGCGAGGCACACAGCTTTCTCAGAAACTCTTCAGCTGCCTGTTCACTGCTTTTGTCGGTCGCTGTTTTCAGAATTTTCAGTCCGTCTGTTTTGTGGGATGTGAGAGTAAGTATGTATATATGTATTATATACACATTGTCGTATTAAATCCTTGCACTGCACACTCATGCAGCATACCAATTTAACCCTTTTTTTAGGCATACCGGTCTAAACCTGCCTTCCCGCTGTAAAGCCGTATTGAATTTTACCGGCCTGACACACCTGCCTTTCGTGTAGGCTTAGAAATAGAACATTAATCTCTAAAATTCGACCATGACGTCCTTGGTCTTTGTATGAGAAATTTCATTGAAATACGTCGGTCAGATAAAAAGCAATTGCAATTTCTTTGCTACATCCATTGAATCTCTGAAAAACGCTGAAATAATCCAGTTCTGGGAAGCCATTAGCTGGCCGCCAATATAGTTCTGCTGTGCTGACCTGCTGACCTGTTTATGGTGCTAGGAGGGTTAAAACAAAGGAAGTGTCTACGTACTCCCCGATTGGGGTCTACGTAGTCATGGTGTCTAGGTGGACCCCAAAATGTTGGATTGTGATTGGCTCGCTGAGTGAGCGGTAGTTTACATTGGTTGCAACAAAGATACTACACCCTACGGTAGGCTGTACTATCTTTGGTTACAAATGCAAGGCTACTGATCATCTCGGGCGGTGTGTCGATCTAGTGTTACTATAATTATTTATTTTAGCCCAAAGACAGAGTATTTAATGAATAAACGTATCTAGATCTAGAATCTAGATCTAATCTAGATTTAGATGTCTAGATCTAGATCTATCTAGATCTAGATCTAGAATCTAAATCTAGACCGAACTGCACACTCTTGGCTAGGTGCACAACAAAATCTAGATCTAGATCTAGATAGGTTTATCCATTAAATACTCTCTCTTTCTCTCTCTCTCTCTCTCTCTCTCTCTCTCTCTCTTGGCTAGGCCTAACACAAATTAATTATAGTAACACAAGATAGACATACTACCCGAGAGAATCAGTAAGTAGGCCTAGCAGCCTTGCATTGTAACCAATGTAAATTACCGCTCGCTCAGCGAGCCAATCACAATCCAACATTTTTGGGGTCCACCTAGACACCATGACTACGTAGACCCCAATCGGGGAGTACGTAGACACTTCCTAAAACAAAATAACTTCCACATCGTCTGGCACATCAAAAATGCGTCTATGATAAGAGTCGCCCGATATACAGTAATTCATAATCATCCTTTGTAAAATCCGAATTCGCAAAATATGGTGAAATCACAAACACAAAAAGTTTGTTTGCCTGTGTATTGGAGTGCATCAACTTTGGTGGAATGTACAATGGTACCTGAAATGTATTGCATATATAATGAACAGCATATTGTATCTCAACACTCAACTATGTTGTATTTAGGCAGCTTCAAACAGATTTTACAGAAAGAAAAGAAAAACAACGCAGTTACATAATACAACATGGAAATTGGATTTAACATAATCTAAATGTTCTCATAAGCATAGTATTTTTTAGGAGGCTTCGGTTTATAGTAGATCATGGATCCTTTTGTGCATGGACGGTGTTAGATTTAAGACATGATTGCCTGTCATTTCATACCAAATGTCACAGAATGTTTCAAAACAAAGCGTCTGCATTGGGAGCGAAGTCGTGTTTCTTCAGCTGTGGTATCATGAGGCGCGACTTCATATTTTCTATAGGATTTGTATCGGGGCAAATTTACTCATGGCCACTCCATTACTGGTATGTCTTGGTTTTCCAAGAACTGTCTTTTGGCAACGGCCCTATGAGAAGGTGGTTTGTCATGCATGAAGATGTGAGTTGAATGACACACATGTTGACATTAGTGTAAATATAAGTGAGGTTCAGGCACTTGCACGATGTAATCCTCCTCAAGGAGCTTCAGTTGTTTACCATGTTTTTAAAAAATTCCAACCAGATCGCCCGAGCGAAACCATGACAGATCTGAAGTCTCTGTTTCTCACTATAACATATTATTATGATTACGTCTAAAATCTAACCCAGTACCACTGGCTCATCCGCAAAATACAAAAATGTATATACACATTTTACAGTAAGTCCAAATTCTACGTGATAGTCATAACTTCACAGTTTTCTATTCTGTTTGAAATTACATTAATAAAACATCATTGTCCACTGTAAATAAACCAATTTCCATTCATTTGATAGGCATGTCAATTCCAGCAATGTTGATGCC